TTTGATTTAACAGGTTCCTATATATTAAACATTATCTGAGTCTTCTTCAGACACATTTTCAGTCCTACTTTTTGTGCTGGAATCGTTTAGCTATCAGATTCTTTTTTGGACCTATTCTGAGACTTTTGAAAAATCAGAATATCATGCACAAACCGAAGATCAATTAAATAATGCCCATTTATATCTAGCTCCTGATTTTCTCAGCGGAATAAACTTCTTATAGCGCTGCTGTGAAATCTTTATGCAGTAAATTTTCGCCGTGTAAATCACGTACCAGTACTTGTAATGTCATACTTACTGGCGGCATCGAAAGCTCCCACTAGTGATAGCTACCCGGAAACACCGGGGCTTATTATGATTCATTTTTCTTGTGGGTGTCTACGGATCAGGGTAACGATGGGCGTGAACACGCCATTGTTCAACTCAGAGACACAATCGTGCGCCTATGCATCGCAGACGCATAAATACCATGCAGTCGCATCCTGCCAAAATGGCCCCTAGGCAACTAGAAGTAAGGGAGATATGTAATATTGCGGTGCAACCCGGTGTAAAAGCTTCTATTGGTCTTACACTACCGCAGTATTGGTGTAAAGTAAAGAAAAAATTTTTCTTTACACGGCACGTTTTCCCCGTACCGAAAATCTTTTACCGTCAGCATTGAAATATAAAATTAACACGGCTTATACTTTGTACTGATGATTTTAGTCAGCTACCTTGTTCGGTTAAAGTGAACCGCAGATGCATGACAGGCATCAAACAGCATGGCCATATATCACCACTGTTGGGAATGACTACATCGGTACACACCTCACTGCTATACTGCTGGCACAGGTCAACGATCGAATGTAAATTTCTTGGCTGGCTGCACTGAAATATGGAGGACCGAATTCCGTGCTCAAAGGAATTAGCTGATAACAAAAAATTTACCGACGTATGTGACATCGACCTTAAACTATGAGATGACTGTGCATTTTTTGCTGTTGTTCGTTGACACCATAACCCTGAG